TCCTCCATAAAATGTGCTGCACACATCTGAATATTTGGGTTGAAGTGTTCTGGAACAGTGTTGTAAATACAACTTAACCACTGATTTCTAGTCGTGTCCATTTTTGGAAGGCTAAACAAAGTAGTTTCGCTTTCACAACGAAACACAGCGGTGGCCGGTGGGCTTGAGAACGGCGCGGCCAGCAGGCTTGCGGCAACCACATGAGGCGACCCCGGGCTGGACTCCGCTTCGTCCACGGTGAAAGCCGATCGTTAGAACGAGCCGTTTTAGGTAGGCGTGGTTAACTCTTAACTTTTATAAAGAATATCTCTTTGGGTTTGAGACTTTAGTCTTTGCAACTTTACAGACCTTCTTTATGCACCAAGAGCTTGTAACACTTCAAAGAGAAAGGAAAAATTGAAATCGCATCATATGACCCCTTTAAGTGCTCGAATATCACACACTTTGTTTTTACATTCAGCTCATGAATGGATGGTAGCAGTCTTTTTTACTGTTAGTATTGTACTTTTCAATTACCTACAATTATTTAAAAAATACAGGGGTTTTTTGTTTCCTGAAAAGAAAGTTTTGGACTGGTTTTCATTGCTTCACGCTTTTCACTGAGTGCTTACACAGATACACACAGGAGCATTTGAAAGCCGCATCTATCAGCGGATACGTCTATGAGCAGATATATTAGGGATCCGCTGATAGACGCGGCTTTCAAATGCTTGCGTGTGCTTCTTTGTAAGCGCTTGGTGAGAAGTGTGAAGCAATGATCATTGTAGCCAATCACAGTCATATCTGTTGAGTGTGTGAACAAATGCTGGTATTGTCACATTTTTAAAAGTGGATACTTCTGATACTTTTGACAACCATAATTTATTATAATAAACAATTAATTTTATTACCAAAATAAACTTATTTATTTTTGATAGATCTGCGACACAATTCTGAACCACACCAAAGAAAGGTTCTTATTCACTGACTGTGACTGTGAGTGCCACGCTGCTAGCCTGCTACAAGGAGAGAGGTTTGAACAGCATTGCCATACGTTTCCTGTTGAGGCTCTGAGCATCACTGTCAGGGCATACCCCATGTTGAATAAGGTGAAGCTTAAGACTGAACTCTCTCTCATTTATGAGAGTCCAGAATTCAAGGGCTGCTGTGGTGCACTGGCACTGTACCAGGTTTTGCTGAAGTACAACCTCCAGGATACTTTTTCTGAGACTGTAGCTCTGTTGAATCATCCTCATAACCACTCCCATGACAACTGCTGAAGCTGAGAGGTGCTTCTCAACCTTAAAGAGAATCAAGACATTCCTCCGAAATGTAATGGGACAGGAACGTCTGAATGCACTGGCCATGCTTTCCATGGAGAGGGAACTAGTCAGGAACATGCCTGCTTTCAACGAGAGAGTAATTGATCGCTTTGCTGCTTTGAAAGAGAGGCGAGCAAAATTTCAATATAAGTGAGTAGTGTGATATAAGTGAGTAATGTAAGTGAGCAGTGTAATGTAAGTCGACCGTGCTCACTCCAGTGTCGGCTCCAGCCCCAGAGCGCGCTCCAGTGTCGGCTCCAGCCCCCAAATCCAGTCCAAAGAGGGCTCCTGTTCCTGAGTTTAGCCCACGGAGGGCTCCTGTACCCGAATTTAGCCCAGTGAGGGCTCCTGTCCCCGAGTTTAGCCAGTGTGGGCTCCTGTCCCCGTGTTTAGCCCAGTGAGGGCTCCTGTCCCCGAGTTTAGCCCAGAGAAGGCTCCAGTCTCCGAATCGAGTCCAGAGCGCCCTCCAGAGCCCGCTCCTCGAAAGTACCCTCCAGTGCCCGCTCCTCCAGAGCGCCCTCATGACCCCATTCCAGCCAAGATGCCCGTTATTTTCCCCAAGTATTTATTTGGAGGGGTTATAGGTCTCCAGCCGTAGAGGCTGGGGCGGGGACTGGGGCTGGGGCCACGGCCTCGGAGGCTGCTCTGCCATGGCCTCCTGAACTGTCTGCTCCACCATGGCTTTTTGAGTCCCCTGATCCGCCATGGCCTCCTGAGTTCCCTACTCCGCCATGGCCTCCTGAACTGTCTGCTCCGCCATGGCTTTCTGAGTCCCCTGATACGCCATGGCCTCCTGAGTTCCCTACTCCTCCATGGCCTCCTGAATTGTCTGCTCCGCCATGGCCTCCTGAACTGTCTGATCCGCCATGGCACCCTAGTCTGCCTGCTCCACCATGGCCTCCTGAGTTCCCTGCTTCGCCATGGCTCCACGAGCTGCCTTCTCCGCCATGGCCCTCTGAGCTCCCTGCTCCGCCATGGTGAATGGTCTGCTCCGCCATGGCCTCCTGAACTGTCTGCTCCGCCATGGCCTCCTGAACTGTCTGCTCCACCATGGGTTTCTGAGTCCCCTGATCCGCCATGGCTTCCTCGTCTGCCTGCTCCACCATGGCCTCCTGAACTGTCTGATCCGCCGTGGCCCCCTGAGTTCCCTGCTCTGCCAAGGCTCCCTAAGCTGCCTGATCCACCATGGCGCCCCGAACGGGTACCGCTGTCCTGAGGGACCTCCAGAACGCCCACCCCCCCTCACCGTTGGATGTGGTGTGGCGCGAGGACGCGTCTTCCGGGAGGGGGGAGTAATGTCAGACTCTGTTCCGTGTCTGTGTGTGTTTTCTTCCCCCACATGCTCCATGTTATGTTTATGTCCTTATTTGGTCTTCCTGTTTCCTGTTCCCATTATGTTCCCTAATTAATTCCATTAGTTCTAGCTGTGTCATTAATTATCTTCATTTGCTCCTGTGTATTTAAAGTGTGTTCTGCCCCTCGTTTCCTGTCCGGTATTGTTGATGTCTACCTCCTCAGCTATTTCCTGTTTCCTGGTTCCCTTGATTTCATTAAAATCTCCTTGTTTATGTACTCCACGTCTCCTCGTTCCTCGCTCCGCGCTCCAACACAGTAGCAAACGTGACAAGGGAGAGATGACTTTTGTTTGCCTTTAATATTATGTTGTGCTGTATTATTTGGTTACTGTGTTATTTCTGTTTCAAAAAGCAGCAGTAAATAACACTTCAAAATCTAAAGAGTGTTCATGTGATTTTATACATTAGTAGTGTTGTGAAATTAATGAATGCATAGTAATCGTAATAACTGTGAAACCATGATTATTCCTCAGACAATAATCATTATTGCCTGGACATCTCTCCTGAAACAGGCTGATCTAGTTATTTTGCGATTTACCTTCCCCTCAAATTATCTTATTATCGTAAGAATACCAGCTCCATACATTTAAGTATTAAGTATTTAACCTAACTGATAATGTGTTCATACTGTTCATAGCACATAGCGACAAGACTAGGTTGCATGTTTCCACAACTGAGGCTTGACCCAGATAAACTGAGAGAGGAGTTCACAGACTATTAGGTCACAGACATTAACCCAGGAAGAGAGAGTGAGCAGATTCTGGGGCCTTGTAGGGAAAAGTGAGCCCGAATCTGAAAATCCCGGATTTTGGTACCCAAATGTTGACAGGTATGGTCAGATATGAGCCAGATCTGGGCCGACACAATGTTGCTATCTGGGTTGCTAACAAGTGGCTTAGTGGGACTACAGAGGTTGTCAAGGACATTAAACATCATTAACTGTTTAATGAACAGCAAAACTCATCTACTCACTCGCTGTTACAGCCTTGTTGTGTTTCTAACCACACTCTTGGAAACTACTCTAACTCAAATGTTTTAGGGATTTATTTATTTAATAATTTTGTTTAAATAAGATTGAAAGAGTTGTTGGAGGCTTATTGACGGTGATATTAAAGTCACATGACTGGTGTAGTTCATCTATAGCCAATATTTAGTTGTTGTTTTTTTTACTACTGGTGACTATTTACTGTAGACTTCAAAATTCATAAAAGCTGTGTTCATTTGTGAATATTATATTGATGAACAATTGTGTAAGAATCACAAACTTTTGTTGGACACAGAGCTTATTTATCCAAAAGACAATGGAAAAATCCTCTGGCTTATTTTTGAAAAAAAAAATAAAAATTATGATGTGACAGCAGCTATAGAGAGTGCACTAGACGAGAACATAAATCATACATACTGAATTTAAAGTTCAAAGAGTCCTACCGGCTTCTAGTTAGTGTTACATAAACATTCAAGCACATGTGCTGCATGTACTCACAAATATTCATTTGCACACACAGCTGAGACAGTCATACATGTTCTCCCATGTTACTCATTTACTGCATTACACTTCATAAAAATATGCATATTACATATTTATGCTTATATACTGTTATCAAGTAACTTGAAACTATCAGTATCTAATACTAATATACTAAAGCACTTAATCATTTTTTGGAAATGATTAAGTGGCTTTACTGTGTGCTAAATTACAAAAATATTATTCTTTCAAAATGATTCTTCTTTCTCTAGATACTGATAAAAAGGGAACAGAAAATGAAACACACAAATGTTTTTAATGTTAAGAACCATACGAGAACTACACTGAATCATGCAAAAGCAAAGAGTTATTGCTTAAAGGTGCAAATGTGTAACAATTTTGAGAATCTGTTTACAGAAATGCAATGTAACATACAAAACTATGTTTTCAGTGGTGTATAAATACCTTACAAAATTCACCATTATGTTTTAATTACCTTAGAATAAGCCATTTCTATCTACACAAACCGCGGGTCCCCCTCCATGGTTAAGTCACCATTTTGCACCGCCATGTTTCTACAGTAGCTCTAAATGGACAAACTACTTTACAGAGCATGTTTCGTCACTGTTGTTCTTCTTCGTTTCTTCCTTGTGTTTTTAGAGGCAGCTTGCATCGTTGCTACGTTGAATACGCACGAAGGAGAAGTAGTAGTAGTCGTTGTGTGGTTTATTAGAAGCAGAGGTCGTTCGTAGAAGTAAGAAAAGTAAGAAATATTTGAACAAACCTCTCCCTGTCCCTCTTCCTGTTACCTGCGGTGCGTACTCTGGTTGTGTCTGACCCTGCAAACATGGAGAAAAACATCTGCTAATGCTATCTCGCTGTCAGATTAAACACTCTGCACAGCATAGTTATCTACCATTACGTTAGCTAGCTGCTTCATTACTCTTACCTTGTACTAACTAGCATGCAAAAAGCTAGGTAAAGTCAGCAAATAAAACACCAACACAATGATGAACATGTTCGCAATAACATCGATTTACTAAATAATTAATTACATATAATTTCTTAATTTATCTTTGTAAAGAAACCTCAATGCTTGACTGGCTACTCTCTGCTCAGAGTCTCAGATGAGACATCTTTGTCCTGTGTCTGCAGTAGCTTCTCAAAGGGAGTGGCGGGGGGAGGGGCTAATCCATTTATTGCAATTCTCAACATCACCGCTAGATGCCGCTAAAATCTACACACTGCACCTTTAATAATGTAAAACAACAAAATCAAATAAAGATGAACAGTAAACACAGAACAAAACAAATGAGCAAATTTAAGTATCACACATTAAAATTTTTTCTCTTGAAAACTATTGATTTTTCATACTATATTATGCAGACTATGCTTTCATGTGACCATATTTAATTTGCATCCAATAACAAATTAAACAGTTTTGACTGTAATTTGCCATTTATGTTTGATCCATGCAGTTCAGTGATACAGATATACACAGAACACACAAAAAACACACAAAAACAACAAAGATATATGATCTGACAAGAGAGCAACAGGACAGAAGCACTGGAGAACACAAGTGAACAACAGGTAAATGTCATGATGATCATTTGGTCCAGTACTTGTACATTAATCACATGAAAACTCTGGCTGTTTCCTTTAGGATGTTGAAACTTGTAATGGATTTCTTCTGTTATTCATGTTGGCATGTATGACTGAGCAGGTGATGGTGTTGTACTTTTCATACTCTTGTTTTGATATTGTTAGTATGCTGAGAACAGATGTGGAGTCCCGTTGATGGATGGGAGTGCTGGTTGAGCCCTTTATGTAAGGCTCTTCACCCACTTTCCACATGATATTGACATTTCCAAGTTTAGGGCTGGTGACCTCACACACCAGAGAGACTCTGTCTGTGTCAATAGAATCAGGTGTGTAAATGACAACACTGGGTTTCAGTCCATCTGAATTGGAGAAAGTGATAAAGATTCATTAAACAATCAAACAGAAGAGTGAATATCAATAGTTTAACAAGCCAACTTTTTGACAGCAAAAGCCTCTGGACTGTCGAAACATTTCAAGGGCCATATTTTAATGATCTAAGCGCATGGTCTAAAGCGCACGGCGCAAGTGCACTTAGGGCATGTCCGATTCCACTTTTGCTAGTTTAACGACGGGAAAAATGGTTGGCGCGCCTGGCGCATGGTCTAAAAGGGTTGTCCCTATTCTCTTAATGAGTCATGGGTGTGTTTTGGGCGTAACGTGCAATAAACCAATCAGAGTCTCATCTCCCATTCCCTTTAAAAGCCATTGCGCTCGCTCCATGGCGGATTCGCTATTTACATGGCAGAATTTGCAAGAGCAAAGACTGAACGCTTCTCTAGTGAGGGAATGGATCTGCTCGTGCGCGAGGTTAAAGCACATGAGCAGACCATTCTGCAGGGCACAATAATAATCTTTTACATTCTAATCCTTTCATTTTTAATATTTGGCATGTTTGTGTGTTGCTGCGCGTCCCTGTGTGTGTAATAAGCAGAGTGTACGCGCCTTAATTAACAAAAAAAATATTGGGCCATTGACTTTAGACCAGGTTTCTGTTGGTCAATGGTGCAGACTATTTCAGTTGCCTCAAAATAGCAACGCACCAACAATGCGCCTGAACACACCTCGTTTTCAGACCAGCATGCCCATGGGCGCACAAATGGGCACAAATGCATTTGCTATTTAAACAACGTGGTGCAGGACATGAAATTGATAACTGTGTCGAGCTGAAACTAGCAAAAAACACTTTAACACGTCACCAAAGCTTCTTTCACTGCCCTTTTTACATCTCCAGAAACAACAGCTTCCAAGATAACTTTATCATTGACAAATAATTCTCTCTCAATTGGTGGCTTCAGTGTTACATTTACATTTAGACATTTAGCAGACGCTTTTATCCAAAGCGACTTACAAATGAGGACAATAGAAGCAATCAAAATCAACAAAAGAGCAATGATAAGCAAGTGCTATAACAAGTCTCAGTTAGCTTAATGCAGTACATGTAGCAAGGTTTTTCAGAAAGAATCAAAAGACGAGGCTCACCTTTGCTGAGGAGCATGTTGTGTGGAGAAAGGAGAACTGGTCCAAAGTTCACTTTAGTGATGAGAGCAAGTTTAATTTATTTGGGTCAGGTGGGAAACATTTTTTTTGGCATCAAACTGGGGAAAGACTGAAGCCCAAGTGCGTAAAGAAGTCAGTGAAAGGTGGAGGAGGAAGTGTTAATTAGTTAGTTAGTGGTTACTGGTACACTGTTTTTCATAAAATAAAAAATTCAAATTTTGAGCGATGAAGATTAACAATATTTCAGAAAAAATCACGTTTTTATATATTGTTCTCTAATTTTGATCTCCACTGTGTACATTTACATTTTACATTTACATTTTGACATTTAGCAGACACTTTTATCCAAAGCGACTTACAAATGAGGACAATGGAAGCAATCAAAATCAACAAAAGAGCAATGATATGCAAGTGCTATAACAAGTCTCAGTTAGCTTAATGCAGTACACGTAGCAAGTTTTTTTCATATAATAAAAATAAAACAGATAGAATAGAAAAAGAATAGAGCAAGCTAGTGTAAGAGGCCTTTTTTGCTTTTGTTAATCAGCAGTCAGAAAGTCAGAATTATAATTGTATAATAAATAAAAAGAAAACAAATAGATAGAATGCAACAAGATTAGAGAAGCAAGTGTTAGTTTTCTTTTTAAAGAAAACAAGCAGTTAGTAAATAAATAGAGTGCAAGTATAAAGTTTTTTTTCTTTTTTTAATAAAGAATAGAATAGAGGGAACATTTAATTTAAAAGTCCGTAAAAGTTATTTTGTGCTTCTTTGGGATGGAACAATAAACGCAGTTCACTTGCAGAACGCAAGCTTCTAGAGGGCACATAAGTCTGAAGTAATGAATTTAGGTAAAGGGCTGCAGAGCCAGTGGTGGTTTTGTAGGCAAACATTATTGCCTTGAATTTTATGCGAGCAGCTATTGGTATCCAGTGCAAACTGATAAACAGAGGTGTGATGTGCGTTATTTTTCGGCAAGGAGTTGTGAAGCATGCTCTGAAAGAAAGGGCCTGATCTTCCTAATGTTGTATAA